GATGAGCCAAATTCTGCAGCAACCAGCCCAAGGAGCTAAAGCCACGGGAGGATTGATCTCTGCCCCAGCCTGGGGTTTTCTCAGCTGCTCTGAGGTGCAACTTCAATTTTCCCCATATCCCACGTGCTTTTGGGGTGGTTTCGTGACCCTGTTTGCTTCTTTCCTTCCTGTCTGGGGGAAAAAGGGAAAAGGAGACAGTTTTCTAGGAAAAAAGAAAAAGTAGCTCTGCCTAAAAATGGAGGTGTCAGTAAATCCCAGTTCAACAGAGGGGCTTAAAGGAGGAGGGAAAAGTATATTCCATATATAAATACATAATTGAAACAAGAACTGGAGACTTGAGGAAGCCACCACTGGGACAAGGAGGAGAATCTGGGCTCAGATTCCTCTCCCTGCACACAGAGTTCATCCAGCCCAAATGTCAGGCTCAGCCTGGGGCTGCAGGGCTGAGATCCAGCCCAGAGGTTGGTCTGGTTTTCAGGCTCAGCCTGGGGCTGCAGGGCTGAGATCCAGCCCAGAGGTTGGTCTGGCTTTCAGGCTCAACAGCTGCTGCCCAGCCCAAAGCACAGGGATGCTGAAGGATGGGAAAGGATGGGACGCACCACTCACTGAACTGGCTGGGAATAATGTTCCTGTTGAAATCTCTGCCTCCCAGTAAAGCAGTTGACCAAAGTTAATGAGGGTTGGTTGGTGTTGCTGCTGGGTCAATCCCAAGGGGGCTTTTAGGGGCCTTTCCCTCCCTCCTTCCCAAAGGACAACACTCCCAGCCCCCAGAATTACCTGGCAAAGGGCTGCAGCTGCAGGACTGAGCCCTGCCAGGGCCCTGACACAGTTTCCACACTAAATGCCAATTCCTTGCCCTTTTTAACCATTTTAAACTGCTGTGTCCTAAGTCTTGGGGAGCATTTGAGAGACCACAGGCTGCCCAGGGCAGTGGTGGAGTCACAATCCCTGGAAATGTCCAAAAAACGTGTGGATGTGGCACTTGGGAGTGTAGTTTAGTGCTGATCACCGGACTTGATGATCTTTTCCAACCTTAATGATTCCATGATTCCATAAACCCCCTGATCTCCCAGAGTGATGCCTGTTGTGTATATCCAGAGTAACCCATCACAATTATTCCCCAGCCCTGGAAGCAAAGGAGGGAAAAGCCCAGGTGGGTTCCCAGGGTGGGATGAGCAGCTCTGGGATGAGGGGAGGAGGCTCCCTGTGTTTGGCAAACAACAGGAATGTTTTAACAACCAGGCAAAGAAAAATAAACTCAATGGAAGTGTCTAAACATGTCGAGCCCAAAGCAAGGAAACCTCCCTGTTCCCATGACAAATAACACCCGGGATAAAGTGGGAACAGCAGCCAAAGGCTCCTGCTGGCACAGAGCAGGGTGAGGGAGGAACTGTCATTCCCAGGCCCCTCTGCAGCTCTCCAGGAATTACCCACCTCCGGTCTGGGGGAATTCGCTGATCCTCCAAAGCTGTGGAGCCAGAAAAGGCAGTGGCACGTCATGGAACTGCAGGGAAAACCCAGGGAAAGCCCTGAGGGAAGGACAGGAGGGAGGGACAGCAAAGGGTTCCCGCTGCAGGATGAGAAAGGCCATGTTCAGGGCCGGGTGGTGGCAGGGAAATCCCTCTGCAGACCCCACAGCTCGGGGTTTGGACAGGTACAAGTCAAATTCAGACCAAGAGTGGCTTGTTTGGGGCAGTTCTGGTGCTGGTGATTTATCAGAGGGGTAGGTGAGGCACAGAGGAGGAGGGAAGGAGGAAAAATAAAAAGGGAAAAGGAAAAGGAAAAAAGAGAAAAAGAGAAAGGAAAAAGGGAAAAAGAAAAGGAGAAAAGGGAAAAGGGAAAAAGGGAAAAGGAAAAAGGAAAAGGAAAAAAGAGAAAAAGAGAAAAAGAGAAAGGAAAAAGGGAAAAAGGGGAAAAGGAAAAAAGGGAAAAGAAAAAGGAAAAAAGAGAAAAAGAGAAAGGAAAAAGAAGAAAAGGGAAAAGGAAAAAAGGGGAAAAGGGAAAAAGGGAAAAGGAGCTGCAGAGACTCCACTCATCACTCGTGTTATGAGCTCAGGGATTTCTCTGCCCAGGGCTCTGCCAGGGCAGGGGCATCATCATTACAGATCCCAGCAGGGAGCAGCCAGGATTGGGATGAATCCCTTCCCGAGGACCCTCATTAAACGGGCTGCACACGGCAGAAATCAGGGAGACAAATGGATCCGGGCTGACAAACGGGCAGGAGCTGCTGGGAACACCCCGGGGAGAGAACACAGCACGTCCTGCCCTGCAGGGGAACCTTCCCAACCTGCTGGTTTGGGCTGTGGGGTGGAGAGAACCTGGAGAGGAGAAACGGAGAGGAGAGGGAAAGGGGGGACAAGAATAGTTATCCCAGAGCTTTATCCCAGCAGATCGTGGAGCTGCTGCAGGAACAGGGGCCACAATGAATGGAGGAGTCCCATTAATTAATGGAGGAGTCCCATTAATTAATGGAGGAGTCCCATTAATCAATGGAGGAGTCCCATTAGTTAATGGAGTCCCATTAATCAGTGGAGGAGTCCCCCAGCCCCAGCCTGGCCCCCAAAGCAGCTCGGGGGGGTTGTTCCCTTTGCTGCAGAGTTACACCAAGGGAGTCACTCAGCTATTCCAGGAGCTCCCAGCGATTCCCAGAGCTGCCAAGGCCTCCTGTTATCAGCTCCCCCCTCCCCAAGTGCCAAAGCCATCAGCGGCTCCGCTCCCTCCCTCTCCCGATCTGGCTGGAGCAGCTCAGCTCTAATTGCTTCCCGATGAGTCTGTTCCACACAAACTCCTCCAGCTGGGAACCGGGAGCACCAAAGGGCTGCACGGAGCCCCCTCCTCCAGGGGAGAGTGAAAATCTTGAGTTCCCAACTCACGGCACAAAGAGACACCTTTTTTTTTTTCTTTTTTCCCTGCAATTCATCCACTTGTGGTGGGAAAAACAGGGGCAGTGCCTGAGGAAACACCCATCTCTCAGGAAGAGGTGGGAAGAAGCAGGGATGGGGAGATGCTGTTGGAAAGGTTCCTGCTTCAGCTGCTTGCACTGACCTTCCTGCACCTCCAACCTCTCCTGGTCCCTTTTCCCCTCCTTCCCCTCCAGACCTGTTTAGTTAAACACCCCCCAACACACTTAATCAAAAAACACCCCAGGAAAGTGCCATTAAGAGGCCCAGTCCCCTCCTTGCTGACAGCTGGAGCCACGCTGTCCATCCCAGCCTTCCATCTCAAATTAAGCATTAAAATTATATATATTAATCTTCCCTGCTCGGGGTATCTGGGTCCCCTCAGGAAGAAAGAAAGAAAAAAAAAAAGAGACATAATAAAAAGATGAAGAAGGAGCCTTTTGGCTCCCACTCTGACCTCCTCAGCTGAGCAGGGGGAAATGGGCTCTGCTGGAGCTTTCATGTCGTTCTGGCCAGGTTTTTTAAAATCACAGCTGCCCCCGGGATGCAGAGCCCCGAATTTCCATCACAAAGAGCAGAGAAGGTCCCCAGATGGGGCAGCTCCTGGTTGATTTTAAGCATCAGCTCCCAGCCCTCTTCCCCCCCCCCCGTGGTGGGTCACTCCCAATTTGCCCATTTTCTTCCTGTTCAGAAGGCAAAAAGAGCTCTGGAAACCAGGGGTGGGAAGTGCCTATTTCAGTTTTCACTGGCAAATAAAAATGTTTCCCTCCATATCCATTTAAAGCATTTTTGTGTCCTTCTGCTGAAAAGAAAAACTAATTGTAATGTTTCCATCTTTAATATCAGGGCTGTATGGTTATTTTCCCTGGAATTGGGTGTGCTTTGCATTCCTGTAATTCACAGGGGGGAAAAAAGGAAAAACGGAGAGTAAACAGAGTTGTTTGCTGTAAAATAAGAAAGTAAAAAGGGAAGGAACTTCATAGGTCCCTGATTGTGCTTCCAAGGGGGAAGAAACACTCCTGCAGAGCTGCTGCTTCCTGCTGTTCACCACCAGGAAAGATCCACAAACCCACTGAACTCTTCCCTTCCTCCCCCCTGGAGCATTTCAGGGATGAGCTCAGCTCTGAGTCAGGACTAAAAACACACCCAGTCACGTTTGAAGGTCTGTTTGTGCTCCTGCTTTGCTGCTCAGCTCTGCAGAGGGAACAGGACACACTCCAACCATCCCTGAGGACACCTGGAGTTTTCCAGGCTCCAGTGGGAGGGGATGTGTCTCCAGGGAAGGAGGCAGTGCTGGTCCATCCCTTGTCCCCACCAAACCCTTGGAGCTGGGGAAAGGGCTCAGCCAGCCAGGAAAGCTGCTCTTGCTGGAGGAACATCACCCACCAACCCCCAAGCTGGGGCAGCTCCAGCCCCACAGAGCTCTCAGCAAGGCAGGAGAAATTTGGGGAATAAGGGGGGCAGGTTAAATAAAACCCCCAAACACCTCGAGGTAAAACAAAGACCCATCAGAGGAGCAACAGCTGTGAGCTGGCAGCTGATTGTTGTGGCTCAGTGTCCTCCAAATCCTGCCTGGATCATTCCAGAGCTCCACTGGAGGCAAACTGCCTCATCCCACCTGTCTGCACTGCCCCAGTGAGACTCAGGCTCTGTTCTAAAACCCTGCACCAAAGGGTAAGGAAATATTCCAGAATAAATTCATGTCAGCTGGAAAATAAATCACAAATATCACATAAAACACCCACGGAATCAATGGAGTCTCCTGAGCTGGAAGGGACCCATGAGGATCACCAAAGTCCAGCTGTGGCCCTACATGGACAACCCCAAGAACCACACCCCGAATTCCTCCTAAACACCAATAAAGAGACAAATACAAGGATCACCAAAGTCCAGTTGTGGCCCTACACGGATAACTCCAAGAACCACACCCTGAATTCCTCCTAAACACCAATAAAGAGACAAATACCAATAAAGAGACAAATATGAGGATCACCAAAGTCCAGCCATGGCCCTACACGGACAACCCCAAGAACCACACCCCGAATTCCCCATTTTAACACCAATAAAGAGACAAACACAAGCCATTGTGTGAATCTCACTTCATTTCTCTGCTCTTCTCCTCCTCCAAAGCCTCTGGCAGCAGCAGAGCAGGAGGCTGAGCAGGATGCTCCCCAGCACCCCGCTCCCAATTCCCAGCACAGCTTCCATGAACTCCTCCCGCTCCCAGAAGCGCTCCAGCCCTTCCCGGCTGCCGTTCCCGGCGCTCCCCTCCTTCAGGTTCTGCTCCCAGCTCAGGGCCTGCTGGAAGTTGAGCCCCACCAGGTCTCCAGGGATGACCCTGAGGCCAAAGTAGACCCTCTTGATGAGCTTGGGGGTGCCCAGGAGATGCACATCGCACCGGTAGGTCCCGGCGTGCGGCTCCCGCGCGGGATCGAAGCTCAGGCCAGGGCTGGAGTTCTTCAGGGGCTCGAACAGGAGGTCGTTGGTGGTGATGAGGCCCCGGGCCAGCCCCCAGGTGTAGCTGTAGCTGTGGTTGCCCGGCCTGGGGGCATCAGGGGCCAGGCAGGGCAGCTGGAGGGGCTGCCCCGCGGGCACGGTGAGGTGCTGGAGCCCGCACAGGGAGCTGCCCAGGCAGTAGGAGCTGACCAGGGAGCAGCTCCTCATCTCCCCGGCCGGGGTCACCTCACACAGCTCCTCCACCTTCAGTCCTGGCCCGCAGGTGACGCTGCAGGGAGTGGAGTTCACAGCAATCCTGGCCACCGACGCCCGGAGCTTCTCCATGATCTCCTCCGAGATGAGCACCTCGCCCGGGATGGGCACCTCGCCCGGGGTGGGCACCTCACCCGGGGTGGGCACCTCGTCCTGGGAAGCCACCACCAGGACACACAGGGCACTCAGCACCAGCCCGGGGACATGGCTCTGCTCCAAGGGCTTCATGGCAGCGCCTCAACCTGAATTCAGCAGCCAAAACATCCCAGAATTATCCTCTGTAAATCTTCACACTCGGTGTTTCCAAATCCCACCAGCACCATCTTCAGTCCTTCCACTAGGGGAGATCCTTCCACCAGGGGAGATCCTTGGGGAGATCCTTCCACTAAGAGAGATCCTTCCCCTAGGAGAGATCCTTCCACTAGAAGAGATCCTTCCATAAGGAGAGATCCTTCCATAAGGAGAGATCCTTCCATGAGGAGAGATCCTTCCATGAGGAGAGATCCTTCCCCTAGGGGAGATCCTTTAACTAAGAAGATCCTTCCACTGGGGAAGATCCTGCCAGTAGGAAAGATCCTGCCACTAAGGAAGATCCTTCCACTAGGGGAGATCCTTCCCCTAGAAGAGATCCTTCCCCTATGAGAGATCCTTCCCCTAGGAGAGATCCTTCCCCTAAGGAAGATCTTTCCACTAATAGAGATCCTTCCCCTAGGAGAGATCATTCCCCTAGGAGAGATCATTCCCTTAGGAGAGATCCTTCCACCAGGAGAGATCCTGCCAGGCTGGAAGCACAGCACTGCTAAAAGAGACCCAGCAACCCATTCCTGTGTTCCCCAGAACGTGAGTCATAAATCCCAGTTCCTTCAGCAGGGCAGGAGAATGTTCCCATCCAGCACATTCCAGCAATTTGGGGGTATCTGACGGTTTAGGGGAGATGATGTTCTCCTTTCTCTAGAAGACTTTCTGTGCCTTTTCAGGCAAATTTTCACTGTAAAGAAGCTCCACTTTAATTTTCCCACCAAGCTACAGAATGACAGAGGTGATTACTGCAGGAATCTTTAAACTAATGCTGTGGAGCACAAGGAAATCCCAATTTCCTGTGCAGGATCTGTCCAGTTCTGACCTACACACAGACTAAAGCATTCCCCCAGTTCAAATCCAACATTCCCACCTCCAGACACTCTGATCCACCGAAATCCAAGGCAGTCTGGGCAGTGTTTTGCCTCTGATGATGCCCAGATCCATTCCCAGGGGGGCAGAGCTGATGTCACAGCCCCAAACATTCCGAGGAGGAACGAAGGGAAGGCAAAGCAAATCCTCTGGGATGAGGATCCAAAAGCACCATGTGAGGCTCTGGACACCCCCCATCAGAGGGATGTCCCCTGCTCTGTCACAGCCACCACTCCACAGGGATCTGAGCCCAAAAACCTCACATTCCTCTAAGGCAGAGGCCACTCCCACCCTGCTTGGAGAGGAGATATCCCAGTGGGATTCACCTGGAGCTCAACCATCCCAAAGGAACAATGCACTGCTGTTCTTCCCCACAGTTCCTGGCTTTGATGGGCTCATTCCCAGTTTTCTGGGCCACAGAACTGTGCTGTCTCCAGTCCTTGACCAAGGATCATCCCCATCCTCACCAACCCACCCATGTTGGGATTGTCAAGCCCTTCCACATAAATCCACACATTTCTCTTCCTGACACCCTTGAACTTAAAATAAGGAATTCTGGGGAGCTGCATTTTCCACACCCAGTGTCCCTGGAGGTGCCCTCCCCACCCAGCTCCCCTCTGGGCTGTGGGATTCCCAAATATCCCAAATATCACCAGGACCCCACAGGACTTTAGGAAATGAAAGGTACCTCTTTATTTACAAACACCAACCTGACACCATGTTCTACCACCAAGCCAGCACCTGACAAATACTGTACAAAACTGCAGAGACCAGAAAATAAAATTATAGAGCTGTGAGGGAAAAATAAACCCGGGACATTTACACTGTACAGAGAAGCTTTGCCAGACGTGGAAAGCTCAGTCTGGGGCAAATCAAATGCTTCAAACCACGAGCTGTGCATTTGTAAAGCTTGGGGGATGGTCAGGCACACCAAACACTGGTGGGTTTGACATCTCAGAGTCATCCTACGAGCAGAAAAGAATGAAGAAAACTAATATTGTACTCGTTGGTAACGAATTCCATTAAGTGAAGCAAAATGTACCAAAGCTGGAAATGAAAATAACAGTTTTTAAAAAGCTTCTGAATCCAAACGTCTCCCCCTCTTCCCCCAGGCAGCCACTGCACATTTCTGGCTGCAAATGAATCAATCATCTCTTTGTGACTCCCTGGTTTTAACGTCTGCAGGACACTCTGAAACTTTAAATAATCATGATAATCCCAATAATTACACTGGGGGAAAACTGAAAGTGTTGCATAGGAGCTGTAAAAGTCTGTGAAACGAGGGTCCTTAGGAATGAAAACTTCCTTTTTACCAGGATGTTGGTGGAGTACAAGAGGTTCAGGCTGTGGGTGTTGATAGAGAAAGTGCCTCTTCCCATTCCTACAAGGAAAATATTCCAACTGTCCTTAAGGAATAAAAGGTTAGAGCATGGCTGGAATGAGCTGTCAGCATCCACCTTTCTTCCATTTTTAACCCAGAAGTGGGGAACAAAAAAGAAAACCTTTTTGAAAAAGCCCTGTTTCAGCTGAGAGAAATCCTGGTTCTGTTTTTAACCCTCTCCCAGTCCCCACCAGTGAAGGAGGAACCCAGTTATTTCTGGAAGGGCACCTCCCAGGGAAGGGAATAAAAACACTTGCAAGGACAGACAGAAGCTGCCAACACAGCTTTTGGTATCACAGGCTGGGAGGAAACACATCAACTGAATATTTTATGGAGAGCTCCTTTCATTTGCTCCTTCTCCCACCAGCAGAGTCTCAAAAACAATCACCCAGTGAAGGCTCAGCCTTTGCAGACTCCAGAGGTGTCTTGGCTCTTCTCATCCACGTCCCTCCACTGGAGATGCCCCAAAGCCTGGCCCAGGAGCAGCAGCAGCAGCACTAAGGTCAGCAGGGAGCACTGAGCTCCTGGGAATGCTGGGCAGGAATAACGGGACTCAAAAAGGAGAATTCCCAGCAGGGGAAGGGCAGTTTGCAGGATACAGGAGTAAAAACACACACTCGGGGTGTTCTTCAGTCCAGGAATGAAGAAAAGGGTTTAGATAAAGGCTGGGGAGCTCTGGAGTGGCAGAGGGGGACAGCAGGGTTTGTCACCACCAGGACAGTCCAACGAGTCCCTCTCCAGTGGCACGAGCTGAGCCAACATCCCCCAGTGATCCACGGGGAGCAGCCTCTTCCAGAGCCTTTCCTGCCACAGCCACTCCCTGAATCCATGGGCAGTCAGTCTGCTGGGTCTGTCAGTCCCTCTGACTGAGCATTCCAGCCATTTCCACATCAGGGTGCCAACAGAGGAAAGAGCACAGGAGGGTAAAGGAGAGTCTTCACAACAATTCTGAGATTGCACCACCTGCTGAAGAGATCAGAGACAGGGGGAAAATAAGTGACCAGCCCCACACAGGAGTTACCAGAAAGCAGAGAGCACCAAACAGGGCAGCTTTGCCAGGAAAAAAAATGAAGGAGAATGAGGTTTTCTAGATAAAACAACTCTTTTCTGAATGATCCCTGTCATCCTCTGACACTGCTGGATGTCCCTTCCTGACCTGGGAATTCAGAGGAGTCACCCCCTGCCAGTGGATCTGACACCAGCAGCTCCTCAGCCCCTCCCAAGGCTGCCCTTGGCTGTTTAAATCCTGCATTTTGCAGGGGGCAGTGAAAAGGGATCAAATGGAAGCCCAGGAAACATCCCCCACGTTTTTCCAGGTTTCTTTTATCCCATTTCCATCCCTTTTACCCCATTCCCTGTTACAGCACATCATCATCAGAACCAGAACAAGCAACAGTGAGGAGCTGAGCAGGAAGGACAAGGAGCAGGGTGGGCAGCATAGGACCAGCAGTGAGGGAAGGCAGGGGGGGAATCAATCACTTCTGGACACTCTAAAAATCCACAGCAGCAGCTGCTGAGTTCAAGGAAATGCAAAATTTGATGTATCAATTCCACTGTGCCTTTGAAGCTGCTCGTATTTCAACCCTGAGCTCTCCATTAAAATCTAAAAATAAATGGATTCCACATCACTGGAGCCAAACTTGTGCCTTCTGTGCTGGGCTTGGATGAGCTTTTCCCAGAAAAGAGGCAAATCAGACCATGGGAAATGCTTGAGTGTCTCTCTGACTCAGTCTGGGCCCCAACAAAGATGACTGCAAGTGCCCTGCTTTAGCACACAACCAACAAAAAAGAACCAAAAAGCAAAAAAGGGGGGAAAATCCCCCCAAGCCCGTCCTGATCTGCAGCAACTGTGCCTTCTGCAGTTTAAATAAGGCTGCTGGACAGCTTGGATTAGAAAATTCAGCTCCTGGGCTTTGTCTCAGGGTCCATTTATCAAACAGACCATCAGTGATGCTCCTTTCCCTCCATCCTTGTGGGATCTCTCTGTTCCCTGTCCCTCTGCCTGGCACTGATGGCACCAAACCCCAACTGCAGCTTCAGAACCCTTCACCAGTTACATTTCTGCCCCCAGATCAACCCAAACCACGTTATCCCTGTTTATGCAAGAGCTGATGGAACTTATTGAAGAGATTAAATGATCAAGGGTTGGACTTGATGATCTCGGAGGTCCCTTCCAACCCAGCTGATTCTGTGATCCTATGATTCTATGATTTTATGATTCTATGATTCTATGATTCTATGATTTTATGATTCTATGATTCTACGATTTTTTCTCCTTTGGAAATAACACCCAACCTCCCCTGAACCCCTCCTAAAGCTCTTCCTACACAAGGTATTGTTTTCCCCCCAAATCCTACCAGCAGTTCCACTTCACCCAAGGTCCAATTTTGCCTCTCCTTGACAGCAGCCAAACATTGAAGTGAGCAAAGTGCCATTTGAGGGGGGAGCTAAAAAACACCTCTAAGGACCGAGGGGGCTGCACAAAGCAAGGCCACCAAGCAAGCCAGGGGTGCTGAGGTTGGTTCCTTACCTGTCAAGGGCTGTCCCAGCTCCGCCTGCACTTTACCCTTCGCTGCTCCTTCCAGAGGTAAAGCACCTCTGTCCCCTTTGTAGAGTTTCGGTTTAAATGGAGAATCTTTGTCTTTACCTTTTGATCCTTTAGGCCTGCCTGCTTGCTTCTTCTTGGATTTACCATCTCCCTTCACGCCCAGCAGCGGGTGGACTTCTGGGAGGGGGAAAAAAAAATGGGATTCTGGGGTGAGTTATCCCTCAGCACACAAAGGGTGGGAAAATTTGGGGGTTGGGGGTCCTAAAGGGGTTCCAGGAGAGCTGGAGAGGGGCTTTGGAGGAGGGGATGGAGGGAAAGATAAGGGGGAATGGCTTCCCACTGAGGGCAGGGTGAGATGGGATGTTGGGAAGGAATTCCCCCCTGGGAGGGTGGGGAGGGGCTGGGATGGATTTCCCAAAGGATGCCCCATCCCTGGGAGTGTCCAAGGCCAGGTTGGAGCAACCTGGGACACTGGAAGGTGTCCCTGCCATGGCAGGGGGTGGGATGGGATGGGCTTTAAGGTCCATTCCAACCCAAACATTCTGGAATTCCATAATCCATGAGTGAGGCCCAGGAACTCCAGAGCCAGACCTGAGAAAGAGGAGCTGAACACAGGGCTGGGTGTGGAGGGATCTTCAAGGTCCCTTCCCACCCAAACCAATCCCTCCCACACCCTGGAAGGATTTCAAGGATGTGGATGTGGCACTTGGGGACGTGGGTCAGTGGTGGATTCTAACACTGAGGTCTTTTCCAACCTAAATGATTCCATGATCCTACAATTTCATTCTATACATTAAAATCACACAAGACCACCCAAAATCAAGGCTCCTTTAGGTCCACAGTCCCATAACAAACCAGGAACTGCACAAATTAGATCCTGCAGTTTCAGGATTCCTATCTCATCCCAAACCTGCAGAGTTCCTGTTGTAAGAAAACACTTCAAAGGAAGGAGAAATTTAAGGCAAGACCTGTGAAACTTCTGCTCTCCAGACCAAGCTAAACCCCCTCAAGATGCAGAATAGGTCACTAAAACCAGGGCAGCCCCCACACACCATCGTTAGGGACTCCTTGGAGTTCAATGTTGGTGGTTTTGGGCTTCTTCTTTGGTGCCTGGGGGCCATCAGAGGAGGATTGTCTCTTCTTCTCCGAGCCCAGCCCCTCGTCAGTCAGGGAGCTCTGCACAGCATCTGGGGGGGGTCCA